TTATTGGGACGACCCCACGCCCCTACTCCCAGAGTCGGTTTGCACAAATGAAAAGGGTGACGCCCTTCTGGACGAAGCCCGGAGATGCGTGAGTCCATGCAGATGCGTGAGCGCGCGACTCCATGTCCACTGGAATCTCCATACCCCGTTAGGCACCATTTGCTTTTCCCCTCTGACGTTGTCTTTTCACATTGGTACCTCTGGAACCCTTTCATCTTTTTAACAGCCATAGATTACTCCATGGTTTAAAAATAAAGCCATTCTTGCACTAAGGAACCTTTAGAGAGTTTTCAGTTTTTTGCTATTCCACACAGCCACCTGCTCTCTCCTCTGTGAGCGTAACTACAAGTCTACTTGGAGAGTCCAGCCTTGGCCGGAGGTGGGGAGAGAGCTCTGTGACACCAGCCTTGTCTACCGCAAGGGTGCTGCTCCCATCTCAGGCCCTCAGGCCCAGAATCCAGAGCTGGCTTTCTTTCCCACGGTCCTGTGGCACACGCAGCTGCTCCCTGAGAGAGCCCCTCTTCCCAAGTGGATCATGAGTTACCAAAGGGCATCACCAGGGTTACCTCAGCTTATTCAGTTCCTGGGAGAGAGAATTTGGCAGAACCAGTGACTGCTGAGCTGAGGTCTCTGCTTCACCCTCAAACCCTCTTCTCAACTCCTGGAGGGGTACAGCAATGAGTAACAGGAAGTCAAAGCTAGCGTTTCTGAGTGGGGTTCTGTGTGCATCACCCCTTTCCCTAAACATTAGAAGCCAGCAAGTGTCCAATGGGTGAGGCAGGGGGGTCTTTCACACCTGGCCCCCCTGAGTTCCACATCAACCTCCACCGTGCCGCCATGCCCACTCTGGGACACCAACCTGAAGCCATTCTCTCCCCAACAAGCTACTTTCTCCCTGGGCTCTGCCTTCAGCAAGGAAGCAGGTGTGGCCCGTTCACACATACCAAGTCAGCGGTTAATAAGTGCTTATCTGAATCTGCCCTTTTACAGAGAACTCATCTCTCAGGGCAGACTGGCTAGAAGTCCTGGGAGCAGGGGAGTGGACTGGCCCCTAGTGGACCCTGTGTAAAGCTGCTCCTTCCTGGCAGAGGTGCAGAGGGATGTAGGTGGAACTGGAACTCTACTTACCCATTCTGGGCTCTGCCCCCTAAGAGTACATCTGGGTTCATGCCATACCCTGCAGTTGGAGAGCACTGTAGGGGGTGCTCACACTCGTTGACTAGTAGGTCTCTCCATAAGCCTCTAAGGGGAATTGCCGTCTCAGTTTACAGATAAGGAAACTGGGGTTCAGAGCGAGGGACGAAAAAATGGCTGCTGGCTGGAAAATGTGTCAACTGAGTACAGCTTCCTGCATGGAACCCCAGGGAAGGCATGACAGGAGGCAAGAACAGAGCAGTCAGGACCTCAGGATGGGCTCCAGGAAGCCTTTGGAACAAGCTTCTCCCAGTAGATGCACCTGTCCCCTCTCCTGGGCAACCTGTCTCCCCACCACTGTTAAAGCCTACTGTGTCCCACTGACCTCTGGACCCTGATGGGCAGCCAGCCCTGCTAAGCACCCCACCCCCAAAGTGGCCAGAGCCTTGGGGATATAATACTGTTGACAAAAACATATTGACCTTCTGCTCTTGATCTGGGCACTGAGAACTAAGCAGAACCAAAACAAAAGCAAATCCCTGACCCTGATGAGAACGGGCATCTGCCTTGACCGAAAAATACAGCTATCCCCTGCTTTTCAAAAGTTCTCTGTAGGATCATTTACATTAGAAGTTTGAAGAGGGTTTCCTCTCTTATGTCAAGGGAAGAAAATAAACACTCACTTTCAGCATGTGTTTTCCAACAGCCGCCATGGAAGCAGAGTGCATCCCAGCAGAGATCAGCCCCCCAAATTCCATCTTCAGGAACATTTTATACCAACTATATCTACGACATCGTTCCTACTTTTATTGTGTATTAATGTTATTTGAGATTTTATGTGTTATTTGGTATAATTTGGTGGGTTATTTTGGGGGAATGGGAGCATTTAAATTTGTCTTACAAATTAATGGTAGTTGTTTATTTTCTTTATAACATTTTAACTTGAGAAAATTTTCGTACACCCTACTTTGGGATATGGAGGAAAACCGAATATACTAGCAGGGGCTAGGGGTGCCACAGAGAAGAGAAAACAGGACAAAGGCTCAGAGCATGTGTGTGGTGGGGAGGGATTCTATGTTGAATGAGGTCAAGAGAGGCCTCTGGGGCCTCCCTGGTGGCGCAACAGGTTAAAGCACAACACTATGAAGTATCACAGCCACTGCGGTACAAGTTCGATCCCCAGCCAGGGAGTTGACACACCTGGTGCGGCAGACCTGTTCTGACCTGCCCACTGCTCCCCTCAGCAGTGTACTTCGTTGATCTGCTCCCCTGTTCTGCTCCCCGCTCTGTGTCTGGTGAATCCTCTTACCCACCACACCTCTGGCCTGTACCCCACATTTCTGTGTGCATAAATAAATAAATCTTGAAAAAGAGACAGAGAGAGGCCTCTGAAGCAGTCACAACGGAGCAGAAACCTGAAGGGAGTAAAGGAACAAGGGGTGGGGTTGTGCTGAGCGGCAGAACAACAGTGCAAAGGCTCAAAGCGGGTGTGCCCGGCAGGGCTGAGAAATGGGAAGGAGACCAGAGACGGACAAAGGTGAAGAATGGAGAAAGCTGAGGCCAAGGCGTAGGGATGCTGGGGCGGTGACAGCAGGGTCCAGGAGGCCTCAAAGATTCTGGATCGCAATGGAGCTGTGATTTTTCGAAATGCAAACCAACCAACAAACAAAAAACTGTGGCTGAATTCCTAGAAGCTAGAAAAAAGCAACAGATTCTTTTCTTTCTTTTTTTTTCTGGAATCCTTTCTCATTACCCTGATCCATGGAAACAAGGTGGTCATCTGTTCCCCTCCACTTCCTCCTCCAAGCCTGCCCCTGACCTTGTCCTGAACTGGCTTGCGTGTGTATAGCAGACAGTGGCTGCCTCCCAAGACCAGTGAGGGCACGGGAGGGAAGAAGCCCTGGGAGAGGCAGGCAGCAGCACGAGGGACGACGTCACGGGGCCTCTGGCCGCTATTCATTTCAGTCCCCAGGTGTCTCCATCAATAACGTCTGCCATGACCAGAAGAGAAGAGGGGGAAGGCGGGAAGAAGGAGGGGGCTGGGGTCTGCACCAGCGGATGAGATGTATAGAGGTTCATTGGCTCCTCCTAGCCCGGAGTGAGTCAAAGCTGGGAAAGGCAGAGGGCTCAGGGGGAGCTGAGAGTCTCTGTCTCTCCAGTTTCTCTCCCTGCTTCCTTTTTCCCAAGTCTTCCCCCTTACACATATATTCCTTTCCATCTCTCTGAGACTAGGAGGAGAAGAAAGGCAGGACCGATTTCTACACTGGAAAAGGAGAAAGGGAGTTTTCGTTAGGAGTGGGTGGAGGAGGCACAACAAAGGATACGTTCCCTGGCAGGGGAGGGGAGAGGAAAAAAGAGGCCAGAGCAAGCTGATGACAGGATGGATGTGGGGGCTAGATTGGCACCAGCACCCTGCAGGCCTCATGAAAAGAGAACCTATGCCACTGGACTGGGCATAGAGCCTGGCACACAGGGGGCACTCAGACAGTTATTGACAAGTAGCCATGAGAATGACTAGTGGTCAACTATAGTCTGTCAATAAGGGAAATTGGCTTGACATGGACTAGACCAGTCAAGGAGGGCTGCCTGGAATAGGTGGAGTCTTAATGGATGGGACTGGCAGCTGTGAAAATGGGAGAGGATACATCCCAGGAGAGGAGATTGTAAGGGGGAAGTGTGTGTGTGTGTGCTGAATGCATGTTGTTGGGGACTGCTCAGATAAGATAGTAGGGAGTGAAACAAAGGGCCAGCCTATAGGGGGTCTTCTCTTTGGAAAGTCTCAGGTCTTTGCTCCCCAGGGCACTCAAATCTGAAGCTGACTTTCCCCTTGGCCCAGGGTTTGCAGACCTCCCATGCCATACGCAGCCAGACCTGCGGGATCAGGAAAGGGCCCTGACACTGGTCACGTTAAGGGACCTCGCAGGAAGATCTCCAGTAAACAAGCATTCTCTTTGCCTTGTTGTGGTACCTGAAGGGTCAGCATTGAAAAGTCGCACATATTTCTCTGTCAAATCCAGACTTCCTGGTGAGACTGTCAAAATCACTCAAGGAGAGAACTGAACTGGATCCAGGAGACCTGCAGTCAACCCTCTCAGTTCACACTCAAGGAGAGTGGGGCAGGAGAGGAGAGGGGATTTGCTGGGGTCCCCCAGGAATTAAGAGGCAGAGTTTGGAGCTTCACTCTGGTGGGTGGATATGCCCAAGAAGCCCTCTAAGGGGGTGGAGTGTGGAGATGTCACTGCATAAGTGGCAACAGGAGCTGGGGCAGGGGACACACGGACAGCCCCATTTGTTTGGTTATGACAGGCAGGCTGGGGGTCTTCCTTGCCGATGGAGCCTTTGTGAGGCAGGCCTAGAGGACCCCTGCTTCATGAACCCTCGTGGGAGCAGCGGCGGCACACCTAAGGGGCCAGAACAAGAAAGGAGTCAAATGTGACTAGAAGCACTGGGGTGAGGGGCAGAAGCTGCCCTTTCTGGGGGTTATTGGGCTGCAGCAGAAAAGCACTGGACAGCACCTGAGACAGAGGGAGATTGAAACAGAGCAGGAGGAGAGGGAGTGGCCGGGTGCACACTGCAAGAGGGCAGACTACAGAAAGGGACGGGGCCGAGAGGAGGCCTAAGGGGTGCAGAGTGGGGAGACTTCACCGAGGGAACAAAACGGAAAAGCAACGGGAGGGACGCACAGCAGACAGACAGGAAAAAACGGAGAGGCAGGCAAGCTTGAGTAGAGATCACAGGAGACACAGAGAGGTGGGGAGAGGGACCAGGAGCAGGGAGGGGCTGGAGACCGAGGGGCGGGCGGAAGGGCGCTTTGGCAGCCCGAGGGCGCCCCACTGACCCTTCTCGGCGCTTGCTTCTCTCCCCAGGCTGCGCTTTCCTCACCTACTGCGAGCGTGAGTCAGCGCTGAAGGCCCAGAGCGCGCTGCACGAGCAGAAGACTCTGCCCGGGGTAAGTGGCGCCCGCCGAGGCGCAAGCAACAGACGTGCCGACAGGGGGCGACTTCGGGAGGACGGGCTGAGACGCGGCGGGAGTGGGGGGTCGCTGGCTAGGGCGCGCCGTTTGCCTTCGCTCGGGAACTCGCGCGCCGCCCCTTGAGCCCCGGAAGCCGTGGGGCGCGGAGCCCCGGGCAAGGGGTCTTGGGCTTAGAGCGCAAACCTCGCCCGGCTCCCACCGCGCTGTGCCGTCCAGGCCCGACGGAATCCCGGGCGGGGTCGAACTTCGCTGTGGCCACAAAGCTCGGGCGCGGCTCCTCCCCTGACTCTCCCTGCGCGGCGAATGCAATCCCTCCTCAGCGCTTTGCCCGCGCGGCCAGCCACTGGAGGAGAAGCGGGGTGCCCTGGGCCCCGGGAGCCCGGAATTGCCTCGGTCATCCCTGCGGGGCAACCTGGACACCCGCCGATTTCGCCGTCTGACTAGGGCTTTGGGGGTAGGGAAAGGGGAGAGGGGGGAGGGGTCGTCTGCACGCCCCGACTCGGCGCCACGAGTGAGATCACCCTGGTTTATTTAAGGAGCCAGCCCTAGTCTTTGATAAACTATCGCGCCTCAGCCCTGGTTTATAGCTTCTGTGCGGGGGAGAGGAGAATTATTTATGACCCCCCTAACTGGGTGTGATATCAGCCATGGCTATTACGGAGACTAGTTCATCACCATAAAATAAGAAGTGTTCCTCAGGTCAAGGGTCTGCGTGGTCCCTCCTGTGGGTTCAGAGACATGGGGGGGGGCAGGGGGTGAGATATACGGCTCTGGGAGTACCTAAAGATAAATGGAAAGATGTGAGTGTTTGTGGGCATAATTTGAAGAATGTGCACATATATCGTGTTTAAACTTATACAGTGGACACTGCAGGGAAGCACCGTGTTCCATGGTATGCTCACCCATGTTTACACTCGCATGTTTGCGTTCTTACCAGGCAAACCATATGTAAACACACGTTTCCATTTCTGCTCCGTAGTTGGAAAGGTTAACCAGGTAGACTGGAGCAGCCGTCTTTTGCATCAGAGATTCTTCTTCACGCATCCAGGGGTGAGAAGGGCCTTCTTTCCATTAAGACAACCTTTGAATTGTATTTGGGTATTTGTGTTTGCAAAGCACGGGGCTGAGTCATCTGAATAACATACCCTCGAATGCAAATGTATGGAAATTGGCACAGCACGGGTTTTGTGTGAAGCCCAGCTCTGGCACAGTGGCCATTCCCCAGTTGGTTTTTTTAGTGGCACGACTACATGCACATATATTATAGTAATTACTTTCTGGGTGCCCTCTGTAAGACAGCAGAAATATGTTCCACATCGCCCCATGTTATGTGTGAAGCATAAAGCCATATTGTAAGATAATCAAAGGCTTCTGAGAAAGGTCTGTGCTGATTAATAAAGTGTTTATGGTACTTTGTTTTGGGGGAGATTGTGATGATATTTTAGAGCCACCCAAATGGAATAGCAGATATCATGTTGTGATGGGAGGCCCTTCATCAGCTTGAGAGAGATTGCTGGGGAGTTTCATGATGGCTAGAAGTCTGTGAATTAGATGGGGGAAACAGAAAGGAAGCGGGGGAGGGGCAGAGGGAAGTTTAGGATTTTTGAAAGGGAAGAAGCCAGGGACTGAAAGAATTTCAGTATTTGAGTGTGAACTGTTCAGGATCTAACATTAACTTGCGGTTGTTTATTTTACATGTAATAGAATAGCTAAATGATGGAGTGTATTAGTTCTTTAATAATTTATAGAAATACTTTGATGTTGCAGTAATTACATTAAAGGTCACATATCAAAGGTAATTTGGTTGAGCAGCTGTGATGGTTTCTCAGAAGCAATCAATACCACTGTCCGTGGTGCTGATTTCACCAAGGGGCCCGCCAGATTAAAGAAGGCTTATTACCAAGCAGAAAGGCCCAGGGGAAATCAGGAGCACATTGGAGCGACGCGCTAGCCCCCCCCCTCCCCCTTCCACCGATAATTAACACTGCTCCCCATAATCTGTGCTAATCCTTCATACTGGGAGATCCAGTGGCATTTTTCTGAAATCACAAAGACAAGTTGGGCAAGTTTGGGAAAAGGACAAAAAAAAATGTGAATGTGTGTTGGGAAATAGGCGGGGCAAAGAGAGAGGCCAACCATGGAGCTAAAATATAGCCTAGAGTTATCTTGCAGTGCCTGGAACACCATTCTTTCTTCAAAGGCCTCCTGGAAAGACTCATGGCCTCAAAGACCACATCACACAATCCTTAGGGCAAGCATAGCCCACAAGGGGGAGGGACAGGAAAAAGAGACAGGGTTGTAGCTCAAACTTCCCAGGGCACATTGTCCCTGCACAAACACGTGGAGACAGATGAAAAACAAAATGGTCAAATAAAATTATGCTTTAAAATGGAGTCACTTGGATTCCAGAAAACAGAACTGCTGTTATTACTTCTGGCTGGTTCTCTCCTTTGAGATCAGAGAAAGTGTGTTGCAGGCGAATACAGGGACAGCAAAAGCAAAATGCTCTTACCCAACCAAATAATAGGAGCTCCCACCAACTGAGACAGCGTTGGTCGGTGCCTGTTTCTTTGGGGGGCAGAGAGAGACCTCTACTTGTCTGGGGTGACCACACTAGGTGCCCCACTGAGCACAATCTATGTCTGACTAAAGAGAATGAAATTGAAAACAGTACCTAGAAAACTGGTAACCTCAGCAATTTAGGCACTTTTCCAGACTTCAAAATCCATTAAAATCAATCCATTAAAATCAGCCCAGCACTTTCTCACCATGGAGAAAAAAAGAAGATAGTGCAGCCAACCCATTCTGTTTCCCAGCAAGTTACAGAACTAACATCCTGTTGCCAGCAAGGAAAACAATCCCAGTGTTGTTACCCATGCACGCACACACCACCAACAGCAACAAAGATAGGACTAGTGACACTTCTCTTTCACGTACTTATTTGGGGACTGAGAAAAGGAGGTGACACTTTTCCTGAGAGAATTATAAGGTCAGAAACCAGACCACAGTGGCTGTTTTTACACATCAGAGGTCAATATCCCTGGAAACCAGACTAACCAAAGACGCTTAGGTGGCTGATGGAGTCATCCTGGACCAATGTCACAAATGGATTATTATTTTTGAGTTTGGCATGATTTTAATAGAATGAGATTACTAAACCATGAAGCCTTGTCAGGATTCTTTTGAGCAGTGTCTTCTGCCAGCATCTAGGCAGAGCGATTTCATTTTTCTAAATTCTCCATCTCTGTGTCTCCCTTACCCTCTTGATCTCACTCTCAGCCCCCTACTTCTTTCCAACCTACCCCCTTATTCTCAATGGCTGTTAATTAATAATTAACTATTAATAAGGCACAGTTAACATGGGGCAGTTTCTCAGTCCATCAACAAGTTTTTCTTGACAGTGTCTGTGCACAGTGCTAGGAGTCCTGGGAGACAGAGTTTTAAAAACGGTGCTTCTCCCTCTTGGAGTGGTCCATCCACTTCAAAGGCAGAAATTCCACACACATACACACACATCATCATCATCAATAATGCAAGACATTACATTCTTATAAAATGGGTAGTATGGGTAATTGCTCAATAATAACAGTGAACACTTATCTGACAGGCATGTTGCCTCCATGACTTTGTTTTCTCTTCACAACAACCCCATGAGGAAGAGAGCTGGTCATCTCCCACACAGGAGGAGACCCACATTTAGAGAGATCAAGCAATTCACCAAGATCACAGTTCATAAATGACCAGAGAAAGACAGTACTGTTTCTGTCAGCAGAACCCAGCACGCCCATGTCTCTTCTCTAGCACCACCAGTTGCTTTAGGAGTTTGGAAAGGGCGCCCAGATGACTCTGGGTCAAAGGTTTTGCTCAGGATATGAGCAGGGTGGGAACAGAATTGGGAATAAGACAGGCCTGTCAGATGGGAGGATGAGTCTCGGAACCAGCCTAGAGGGTGAGGGGCCGCAAGCTGGAGAAGCCCACTCTTGGGCCCACCTATGCACAGGAGGCCTCTTGGAAGATTTCTTTCTTTAAATAGGGCCCTGATACTTAGTCCCAGTTCCTTCACCTCTGGGACTTGCGGGGAATTGTCTTCCAGAAAAAGTCCATCTGTTTCCAAGTGTAGGGATGTAGAGTCTCAGGGGAGAGGTTTCAATGAGAGAAAATGGGCAACATGACCAGCACTGGCCAGCACTCTGCTTGGCTGGCAGCAGAAAGGGCTCTTCAGCTGGACTCGTGAGGGTAGAGAGCTGGGTCCAGTTAGTAAGAGACCTGGAAGCTGTGAGAAGAGGAAATGGGCAGGGAAGAGGGCAGGGAGGGAGCTGGCGGGGGAGGGGAGGAGGGAGAGCTGTATCTGCTTGGTAAACATTAAAGTTCCAATTCACTAGTTAAAGATTGGCTTTTGTGCCCTCACTCCACCAACTGAGAATACAAAGCAAACCAACACACTTCTCTGGCTGCCTCCCCCACCCTCTGTTCAGCCTGGTACACATGCAACATTGCGGCCATCATGCCGCCTGACTCAGGTCATCGAAGCTCAGGACAGGTCATTTCCATGGAAATTCAAGGTCACTTTCTTTGAGTTTACTAGGAAAGATGTTAAAATGGGAAAGAACTCAGTTGGGGGGCCTCCCTGGTGACACAGGGGTTAGTGTCTGTGCTATCAAGCTATCGCCAGCCACCGCAACTTGAGTTGACTCTGGCCAGGGAGGTGACCCACATGGCGAACCTCTCCTGTCTCACCCGCTGCTCCCCTCAGCAGAGTATTTGAGTCAATGCACCTGTTCTGCCCCTCACTCTGCATCTGGTAATCCTCTCACTCCCACCCTCTGCATCTCTGGCCTACACCCCAGTTCCTGTATGCAGAAAGAAAGAAAGAAAGAAGGAAAGAAAGAAAGAAAGAAAGAAAGAAGGAAAGAAAGAAAGAAAGAAGGAAAGAAAGAAAGAAAGAAGAAAAGAAAGAAAGAAAGAAAGAAAGAAAG